CTCAGCAAAGCTGTCATAGTGAGATCACTAGTATTACAGTCTAGGTTACCTAAATGTGTATTTTGCTGAACATCATGACGGTGGCGATAATTTCGACGACAATGATGAAACGTGTTCTTTTGGTCTAGATTAGGAAAAATCCGATTGTCACTAGAATCTAAGATAACCGCATCTTGAGCAATCAACTCTCCAGCATTACCCGGAAAAAAGCCAGAACGCTGATTATTAAGCTCATCAGAACTATTTTGATTATTGTTAGCATTTGCAATATTGTTATTTGTCATACGAGAATGACTTCTCTGGATATATTGGAGGCGATGATGGCTATAATGACTAGGACTTTGCGTGCATTCATGGTGGCGTTCCGATCTTGTCTTAGAGGCAGCAATAGTTATGGTGGTCCCTTTGCGCAGCATCCGGGAGCTGGATGAAGTTCTCAGGAACCAATTAATATCCTTTCTTAAATGATCTTGATGTTCAGCAGAATGCCAAGTACTTCTGGTCGCAATATGCCCGGAATGACCACGGTCTCGCTCCTGAAAATAAGCATACCTGGCTCCTGTAGGAGGCAAAGAGACAGAATGGTGACGCAGGCTGCCAGACATAAAGTCAGAAGGGCCAAGCAGATCCTGATTTGAGGTTTGGTGGCGGCGACAGCGGCGCCGGGATCTGTGATATCGTCGCGAAAATGAGCTAGTTCTCTCGTCGCTTAGAGGTGCTGAAATAGGAGCCGGCTCGGATAACCCTAGCTTTTCACTCTGTCGTTCAAGAATACCATTATCAGCAGAGGGTGAAGTAAGAGGAAGTTTTCTAATGACAGAAAAATTAGCTGTTGATACCAATCTGTTATAGAGTGATGATTTTGACATGAAGGGAGAGCAACAGGTTGAAGCCAAATAGCCAGTACGTTCTCGAGTTTTCTCTGCTCCTCTGGTGGCCGTATGTGAAGCCGACAAAGGAAGATTAGTGACAGAAGAAGCACAAGAATCACCAAGCCAAGACGAAGGGTCAGCTCGGCCTAAGCAAAGCGCCGCAGTTGTGTTGCCAGTGGACATAATCTGAGGTCTATTAATGATGCTCTGGGTGTTGCTGCTTAGGGTACAAATGCTTGGAGTGGCAGTTGTAACAACAGGGCTTAGTGTTGGAGCCGTGACGTGTGGCTGGTTAATAGAATGCTTTCTGGTGATTACCTCATTGCCAATACGGAGCTGTTGGAACTGACTATGCGACACACAAGTCGTTGGTGCATTTGGCTGTAAGAGCATCAGTCGATTTCCCTCTTTCAATACGTCATTCTGAAGAGTCCCTGAATCCTCTAAACAGATGGGGCATTGCCTTGAAGTATAAATATCTGACTCTATTGGTTCGATTGTGTAAGAATGCTTATGCTGGTGTGACAGTTTGGCAGATTTCCTAGATCGTAAAGCCATTATTTGCTTATCCGAACTGCAATGGTTAAATTGGTTCAAATTGGTTAGATTGGGCGTATGAGGACCGGGCGAGGAATTCGTGGTGCCGGCAGCAGAACCAGGCAGAAGAGAGACACAGGGCGGCGACCGGACAGAGCTGAAACCGACCGAACTAAGATTTATCGATCTAGAGGAAGCCTTCGACGAGGAGAACGAAGATGAGATTGAACATGATGTTGAGAGAGAGGAGGATGAGAAAGATCGGGAAGTAGTGAAAGCAGGAGTGGAGGAGGACCGGGATGAGACAGAACTTGAGCATGATGAATTCCTTGAACTAACAGAGTAAGATGATGCAGAAAGATGTCCAGAAGACGGAGATCTAGATGAAATAAATTCCAAGGTTCGACCTTCCTTGCGAGGAATTACGGCAACAGTAGAATCAAGGGCAGCAGAAGACGCAGAACACCGTCTACGGAATGTCTGGGCTCGCATGCAAGCCATATAACAAGTGCAATCCTCAGCAGAGACGCGAGAAGAAAGAAGACCAAAAGTAGACAAGCACCAGTTCCACCACACTCGCCATGAATCCACAGAGAAAGATGTTGATAATTCAGAATTTGCGGAAGGACAACAACAATTGCAGCAGCAGCAGCTTTTGGTACATATATATGAGCAAGAACATTCCGATGCTTGAGAAGGAACAGATGGCTGGCAACAACAGCTGCAACCATTACAAACTCTGAAGTTGCCTTTAGCTGAATCAGCCCAATCAGATAATGGCATATTGGATAGTGTAGATAAGGCGGGTAGAGAAGTGGAACCAAGCAATGGAAACATATGTGGTGAAGAGAGGAGACTGGACGAAGAAACTGAAGAGCGAGAAAGAAAAGGAATCGAAGAACATGATGATGATGAAGAGAAAGAGGAAGGGTTGTTTAAGCTCTTCCGTCTAAACTTCATACACATCCTGCGGCGATAGCTTGATAGCCAATCTTCCGAAACTACAGGAAGATGCGGAAGACTACTGCTGAGGTGAGATCTCTCTTTGGTCCGGGAATTGGGAATAGGCCGTTGCTTGTGAAATGATGTCGCCTGAGAGCCCTCT